AACTTGCAGTGATTTGTTGAAATTTTTAGGTCATCGAAATTCAGATCATGTTCGAGTCGAGGATTTCGCTGGTAATTGTAGATCTGCAACAGGGGAGAAGTGGAAAACGCCAGCGAGATAGCAGTATACATTTCAGCAAAAACTATCAATATCCTGGTGGGACGCCAATATGGAACAGTTATCGACATATAAGACCAAGAAAACAACAACAAATGAGGTGGAGGCACCTTAAGGTTATAAAATTTAAACAGTTGTGGGGAGAGCACATCACACTGCAGAGCATATTGTTTTTTTTTTAACGGGTTCAAATTTTCGGACTCGAAAATAAACCGATGGGCGTCTGTCATTTATAGAAAAATTTTCCGAAAAATTTTGCAAAACAACCGAATTTGACCGGTGTTGCCCAATCGAATATTATTATTAAATTATTTGTATTAATGTACGAGTAGGTTTTGAAGTCGGAAATCCTCATCGGTTGTTAAGCGTAGATTTGCTTTAACTATACACCACATATTTACATACATACATGCATATATATATATATATATATATTTGTATGTATTTACATATGTACATAGACGTATCTGTTATATGCCGAAACACATAAATTCAATTAGAAGTGATAAAAATTTAAATTGTGAAACTTAAAAGGGGATTTAATTAAGCTAAGAAGAAACAAAAAAAAAAAAAAAAAAGTAAAAATAAAATAATGGCGCAGAGAGCAGCAAAAGAAATGAGTATAAAAACAACAACAACAAAATAATAACAACACTTTAATTGCATTCACTATGTGCTTAGTATGAGTGTGTACGATTCGTTGGTACGTAAGCTAAAATATATAAATATGTGTACATATGTACAACATGTATTTCGGTTTGGTAGGCGGTGTATACACACTCCACGTTACATATCTAGATATTCGTATATTTATATAAACACAGCATATACATATTTACGCGCCTATATGCTCCATTCCACTTTCCGTTTTGCTTCATTCATATCTTCTTCTTCTATTATGCTCCTTCATTTCTCTTCTCTTATTATATTTTGAACATACCGTACATACATACATACAATATTTGTATGAATGCTTGTACATTCGCATGCTTGTTTGTATGTTTGCTTGCATGTAAATATTTATGGCTCTACATACATACATACATACGAACGAACGTATTTATGTTTGTATGCATCTTTATATGTTTATTTTCGTTTATTCTTTCTACTATTTTACCCTACACTCTATGCTCATTCTCAAAATTTTATTCCTCCACTGCCGAAGTCGACGTCAAAACGGCTAGCATTGCTACCACCACCTCCCGCCTTTATTCTGTATTTTTGTATTTGGTCGTTGGTTCAGTAGCCTGGCCTGGTTTGCTGTCGCTATCGCTGTTACTGTCAATGCGACAGCAAAAGTTTAGTTGTGCTGTATTTGGCTCAGCGCTTCGTAATAGACGCCGATGCCTTAGCTTCGCTGAAGTTAAATTTGCGTCAGCGTGGACGACGATGTTCACTTCGACGTCGGCGCTGGCATCAGCTTCGGCATTAACAGCCCAGCTGTCTATGCCGCGTGGTTGTTTTTTTTTTTTTTGAGTTTTTTTTAATGCTCTCGCTATTCATCGGTGTTTTAAAGAGAAATAGCCGTAGTTGTGGCATCTACATGCCTAAAAATGCAATGTAAATATGTGTGTACGTGATGTTTGTACATATTTAATATCTAGTAAATAAACGTTTATCTGAATAAATATACATAAGTGTAGATATGTGTGCATAGATATGTACGGATGTACATATGTATGTAGTAGATGGGTATTCTTTGCTGCGGCATTCGTTTAAAATTAAATATATGTATGTACATATGTATGTAAATACGAGTTTAGACGACTTTATGCACATGTATGTACGTTTGTATGTTTGTATGTACATATGTATAGATGAATGTAAATATTGGTTTAAAAATAATAAGGCAATTCAATTCTTTATCATCTGAACTTTTTTGATTTGCGAAAAACTTTTACTAATATTTAGCAACATTATATATGTTAAATACATATATGTAGGTGTATTTGTAATAAAGATTTTCATAATTATATTAAAAAAAAAAGAAAAGCGCTGTTTATGTTTAAAAACAGGTATGTATGTATGTGAGTATGATAGTTAACATCGCGTTTATATGAATTGCATGTTTTATTCTTTGATTAAAGTTTTAGTAAAAACTAATAAAAATCTAGAAAAAAACTATTAAAAAATATTTATTTAATTCCCCACAAGTTTTAGAAATTTTTCCTACATTATGAACTAAATTTTAACTTCGAAATCTGATTCATATACATTTGTACATATGTAGTTTGTGGCAGAAGTCTTTCGTTTTTCGAAATCAATAAATAAAAATATTTAAAAATAATTTTTTTTATTTTTCCACAATATTACTAACAAACATCCATATGTATGTACATATGTGTGTACGTAAATATGTGTACTAATAGATATCCAAGGGGATCTTGTTTATCGGCGCCAATTTATTCAGTTACAAATAGGTTTATCCATTTTATACTAGAAACCCGGCCAAAAGCCACTTCAGCGGGCATAAAGCGTCAATTTTATTTATATAGAAACACATCTACATATGTATGTATGCATGTCCTTACATATATAATACACGTGTGTACATTTAAACTAAAAGTTCCTAAAACGAACTCTAATACATACAGCTGAGAGTTATAAAATAGTAGTTGTCACATTTTTCTAATTATTCAAGTAGAATTTGAATTTATTTTTTACAAAAAATTATGTAAAATTTGCTGACATACGAAACAAGATAAAAGCGTTTTATTTACATACATATGCATAAAAAATTAAGGCAGCGAATGTCAAGCCCTCCGAGGTTACTTCTAACCTGTTATAAAGAGCTCATCCTTAAAATACAGCGGCCTTTTGAAGGCTGCTTAATATAAAAAAAAGTAGATCGCTCCACCCTAGAATTTGGAGGAAACTCAGGAAACTCAGCCGAAAACCCCTTCAGCTTACTGACATCAAGAGAAGGAATTTATTCAGCTCCAAATATGCAATTTTGCAAAAAATACATTTTTTTATTTGACTTTCTAATTGAAGATTTAGAATAATTTTAATTTTAACATTAAAGAAATTTTGTTTTGAGAAAAAATTTTTTTTTTAATATTTTAACACAGATTTTCTCATTCTTATTAGATACTTTTGAAGTGTGTAATTCTTTTACCCACAACGGTATTTACGCAATTATACATACATATGCAGTTGCTCTCTTTTCTCTTTTTATATTTTAAAAATGCATAAAATACAAACTATTAGCATTTAATGCTATTTAGCTCAAAACTGTAACTGGGTACATACATACATACATACATGTTTACGCAGGTACAAATATACATTCATACATATAAAATGTATGTAGTTTCTATGTGTATTAATTTGTCAGGATATTTTAAACTAATATTTAAAATTTTATATAAATATGTATGTATGTATGTACAACATGCATACATACATACATATGAAAGTATGCATTAACAATGGAAAGGTAAACTATTTTTTGCATCAAACTGTGTACAGCCAGCACAAGCTAGTTGGAAAGTCGACTAAGAGACAACATACATACATATACATACATAAGTATACGTAAGTGTTGTGGTACGAAGGCGGTGTGATGATCAGCCAGGCTCTATTTAATGCGGATGCCAATGTAATTGGTGTTTATGTTAAAGCTTAGACTGCAAATACTGGCACAGCCACAACTCAGCCCCAGCCATAACAGCGAGAGTTAAAATTATGCTAAGCTTTCTAGCTACCATCAGACTCGTATATGTATGTACATATTTATTTATATATTGTATGTACATACATATAATTGTTATCGAAAGAAAATATAACAGAATAAACAGAACAGAGACGGCACACGGGCAGTTTGGATGTACCTATATATATATATATATATATATATATATATATATGCGCTGCAAGAGCGGAATAAACGTACATATGTATGTATGTATGTACATATATAGCGAGAGAATCGAGACGCTTATTGGGGGTTAAAGTGGGACACCAGCGCAGCTGCGACGCAGAACTAATGCCAGTAGATGCAGCGCTGTAGCGACAGCGTTGCTGAGGCGATGGAAAGCAACGGAAATGTATGGGTACGTCGTTGTTATAAGTTTACGAGAAGGTGTGATGTTGATGGTGCAGGCGGCGCACAAGAATCTCATTTCTAACAAGGTAGTATCTCTATAAAACATGCTGGACTCGGTATCTAGACGAATTTAATGTAAATGCTCAAAATTAATTGCGATTATATTGAATAGAATGTGATATTAAAAAATCGCAATACAAACGCGAAGCACATTTTGTTATTACATATATTGCATTGAACTTTTTTTTTTTGCTTTGGTTAAAATAAACCTTTGGGAATAATTTTGCATTTTATTAGCTTTGTTTTCATTTTAACTAAAATAGTTATATATATACATAGTACATATATATTGGACATACAATCTTCTGATTTTGAATATTATGAGTCTCAAACAGTCAATTTAAATATTATTAAGTTTTATAAAAAGACTGTTGGCAACTTTTTATATCTCATTTACCATTCACTAAAACAAATATATGACTCCAAATAATCAGATTAAGAATTTGAAAGAAAATAGAAAGTAGTGTACATTGTTTTTCTTTCTATGAATATTTTTTGGAACGCGAAATCATCCTGCCTTGAGCAATACAATGATTATATCTACAACTTTGTTTAATAATTTATATATTTTATAAATATGTACGTAAGTGTGAGCATTAATTGAACATGCAGATATTCATTTTATTTACTTCTTTAGTTATATTCTCAATTAACTAAAAGTTGCCGTGCTGGTCTTCCCTATTTACTTTCAATTATCTACATAATAATCTACGATTTTATGATAAATAGCTGTTTAATTAAATGCATTGTTTCATTCAATGCAATCTTTAATTACCAGTAATTTGAAATCCAATTGTATTGTTTTATTATCCATTTTGTTGACGCTTCCTGCATTTGGAATAGTTATTATGTTTTCTTTCACAATTCCGTTTGTTCCACTTCTCCCACTCTTACACTTCACTGCACTCCTCTTTTATTTAATTTCTTTTCGTTATTCACTTCGTCCACGTTTCTCCTTTACAACATTTCTATTTTTTATGATTTATGTTCAATTCTTGCTGTCAAATGGTATCCGCTATTCATCTCTTTCGCTCTTACGAATCTTTTGACGTGAAGTAGAAAATAAAATGTTACTATTTCTACTATTCTGCTTCACTTGTCGTTGTTTTACGTTTTTATTAGTTTCTTCCTTCCACATCCACCAAAAATTTTTATTACAAATTCCCCATAACTCGTCTTGTATTTCTAATTTTAATTATTAACAAATTCTTTCATAACATAACCAGAAACACAATAATTTACTTATCCGGTTATGATTTTTTCTTAATATTTGTAGCTTGTGTACTTCTCACTGGATTTTGTAAATTTCAATAATTTTCTATTCACAATTCACAATTTCTGCGCGTTTTGCCACTGCCACTTCTGTGGCACACGCACGCATACACACACCATTCGTCCATTCGCGCCGCACATACAATGGCCTACGTCGGCTACGATAATACAAAAACTACCAGCAGCGGCTTCTTCTTGTCTCGGGTTCCACTCTGTATATCAATGTTGATGACGGGCGCGACGTCCTCGCTGCAGCTTTGAACAACGGCAGCGACTGCGACGACGACAGCGAAATGAAATCAAACCTTTTAAATTTGCGAAATATTCACTTCACAAACTACATCCAATTATTCATAACGAAAATTTCACTTTGTATGATTATAATTACATATTTTCGAGTAGCTAAAACACGTTTTTCCACAATTTTTTCACAAATTTTCGCTCGTACGCGCTTCAAAATTTCAATTTCTTGCCTTTTGCTCCATCGTCTTCATCGTCGTCGTCGTTTCTCTTTCGTCCGTAGTAATTTTGATTTGACAGTGGGAAAATGAAAATGGTGCGCAGGGTAATGAATATGTGTGAGAGTTGGAATGAAATTGTGGTGGTGAATTTTGCTATTGTAGGAGCGTATGTGCGCGTCGATGTGAACTTGGAAGAGATGGTGTGTGTGGGTATTTTTCAATTTCATAATGGCAACATCGGCAATAATGCAGGGATGCCACTATATTGTTGTAAATACGTGATTACATGATGTCTGGGCGTTTCAACATCGTTGGCTACAAAACCGTTATATATTTCAGCTTACATAAATTACCGTTAAGCAACGCAAAAATCTCCATCAGGATCGGAAAGGATTTCTCCGAGCCGTTCGATACAAAGTTAGGTTTCAAACAGGAAGAATCCTCATCGTGCTGAATAGAAAAGATACAATCTTCAATGAGAGTGTACAGCTACTGACGTACACATCTGATATTCACATTATCGGCCTCAACAACCGCGCCGAGAGCTCTGTTTTCTCCAGACCGGATAAGGAAACGAAGGACATGGGTCTGGTAGTGAACGAGGACAAGACGACACCAACAACAATACCAGCCTGGAAATACAACGCAGAATCACTCTTACCAACTTTCGACGAACGAAAACCAAACTCTGCAAGTCAATATTTGGTGCGGAGGTATGGACGATTACAACGTTAGGAGTCTTCGAGAGAAAGGTTTTGCGTCAGATTTACGGTCCTCAAGCTGGCGAATACTGCAGCTGATGGAATGATGAACTGTATGAGATATACGGTGAGATTGACATAGTTCAGCGAAACAAGAAACAGCGGCTACGCTGGCTAAATCATGTGGTTCGGGTGGATAAGAATACACCAGCGGATGAAGAGGAAAAGGAAGACTTCCACTCCGTCGAAAAGACCAGGTAGGGAAGAATCTGGCTCTACTTGGTATCTCCAATTAGTGTCAAACAGTAAAAAAAATAAATGAATGGCGCAATGTTATAAATTCGGCTATATTTACGTAAGCGGTGTCTACGGCAGTAAATATTAAGTTAAAAAAACTCTTTATTCATTGCTCTTATAAGCTGAATACGGCATTGATTTTTCCAGTAAATGAAAGATAAAAATAAAACTATGATATCGAATGACTTTCTCTAATCTCCACTCGAAAATCTCGAGTCAAAATCATACCCGTTTTAGCGAGACCCGTGGTAACTTCCTCATGAATTGCCCTTTTAGTTAATTACGTAAAAAATTCAATTCATGACGTTCTATTAGTTCAGCTAATCTTTTTTGTTAATAATTGGAACCGTAAACGTGAAATTAGAATAGTCTTCAATTAGAAGACATGAAGTCACCGTCTTTTAGTTTGTTAAACCACTCTGTACAGGTCTTTGAGCTAATCGTTAACCGAATCGGTTCCTGCAGGCTTAGGAAGAATATTTTGATAATAGTGCTTGTCAATTTCCTCCATCCCTCTCTTAACTTAATAATACCGAAGGAATTACACTCGAATCAAACAAGTGTACTCTTGAACCCGATTGCACAGCTTACATAATGAATTTCTATATAGTTCGTCGAATACCTATGTGGACTCCCGGGGATACCCTAAGCTCTGATCCTTTCAAGACGAATTGACCCATCATTTTCCTATTTCCAACAAAAAGAGACGCCTCGGTTTTAAGATTCCAAACCTGATGAGGGTCCACCGCATACGGAATAAACTTTAGCTTGCCCTGCCCAAGATTCGAACTCACGCCCTCCCGGTTATCGGACTATTGCGTAGCGTTTAAACCAGCTCATTCTGACTATTAGCCGAGCTAAGACGTTTATCCCTGGCTGACAATGTTTGCTTGCAATAGACAACAATAAAATTTAAATATTCGAAATTTTTTGGAAGTCCTATACAATTAATGTAACTATTATATGAAAAAAGAAATCATGACACAAAAAACAAAGTAGTCTCACTAAAAATTTTTTCAAAAATTTTAACCATCTGACATACAAAGACTTTGTGACTATTGCTTTATTTTTGTGCTACCAGTTTCATTTTCGAAAAAAAAAAAACTTTCATCCTTCTAAAATTAAGAAAAGAGTATTAAAACAAAAAAATACAAACAAATAAAACGTTCTTACAAAAAACTCAAAGCCCTTGTATACCGTTTTCTGAAATATAATGGAAATATGATTATTTCCCGGCAGCTTAGCATTTTTTGTAAAAAATTATATGAAATATTAATAAAAAGGTAATATCTTGAAGTTAAAATGAAAATAAGACATAATGTCAAAAAATCTTTTGTAAAATTTATATTGAGCGAAATTACCTTCCTTTTTTGTATCCATACTATTAGTAATACTATTTCCCAGTTATATACAAATCGAAAAATGCAAGATCACTCCTCCTTTGTCAAGCAAAATTTAAAATCTGGCCGGTTGCGACGGAGAGTTATGTGTAGGTTAAATGGGTGGCAGCTTTCAATTCTATTTGATTTAAAAATTGTTTATGATAATTCTATTTATCTTCATTTCTAATTTAATATTTACTGAAGAAATATCCAGTATCATATAATATCGCGATTTTCCTTCATTCCAAACCTTCACTGACATATCGAAAACTTTAGGAATAACAACCAGACACATCAAACATTTAAAAAGAACATCCTTCACATATCAGAGGAACCAGCGAATCAAACCAAAAGGATTAACGTGGCGTATGAGATCTCTGGCCATAAAAAAATAAAATTATTAAAAAAGTATTGTTGGAAATGAATACTACGCGAGAAGATGTATACAATCTTTTATTTTCGCCAAATACGCAGGACTACGACGAAGAAATGTATATAGTAAGAAGCTTCTATGAGAATGAGCTACGCTAAAGTATAAATTTCAATATTCCAGAATTTATTACAATTTGCTTCATCCGGGAAAATAGTTGTAGTACTAACTCAATCAGCATCAGCCCCTAAATTGCTGCCATTGGTGAACAAATTGGGAATACATATGTTTGGGAATAAACAAAGCTTACAGCGATTAATTTTTATGTAAAAGAAATGAATTAACTAACGTTTTAGTTGATATAAATCAGTATACCTTATTGCAGGAATTGTGATAATGTCGCTACGGCAATACAAAAATTGCTAGACCTGCACAAATGGAGAATAAGACCTAATATAATAGTATTGGATCTATACGCATTCGCTTACTTAAAAGATCATCCTACCCGTTTTCCTCATGGTGTATCTCAGGCTCCACTTTTAAAAGGATATGTGCAATGCATTGCGGTATTATTGAATATGATGAATATATTGAAAAATGAAGACGCCCCCAATCAGCACACTTCCATAAGCAAACCAATATTTAGCATTGTGGTATTACAAAAAATCGTTGGACTATTGACGGAGCAGCAGGTGGAGGTTGTGGTCGATTTATATTATGACAGCAAAATTTATCGAGAATTCAAAACGATTTCTGATTTTATAAATTTATTGTCCTCGGAAAATTCTACTAAATAATTCTTAGGCATTAATTTTATAGAAATATGTGCCTATTGTGATTGGAAAGTATGTAGACTTTAATCGGGACTTAGAAAAGAGTTAACATTCTAAATAACTTTCAAAAAATCCTTAACTGAATGAATAAACAACTAAAAATCAGATAAATGTTAATTCTTTGCATGATATTGAATTGTAAAATCATGACAGAAGTATGAATCGCAGAATGTAGAATATTTATATATATGCATATACATATACATACACAAACATACGTACTGAGTTGGCAAATCCAATAATAATACATACAGACCCTCAGTTTCAGTAAATAAAAGTAAAATCAGTTTTATGCCATGCCTGGTAATGGTGGTGAGCATCGGTGGTTTAGTCAAGAAGGCCAAACTTTAGTAAGCTGTTCGTTTGTTCTACTTTGCAATTGTCCATGCATTTTGACAGCAAAATTCAAATTACACCACTGTAATGTTTTTCAACTCATGGGCTGCCACATTTCATTTAAAGACTTTTTTGAATATCTGCTGTTCCAATTATTGACAGCTTCTGTGCAGATGTTTTGGGAGTATTATTTTAGTTTTAAAATAGTTCATAACTAGTGGCAAAGATGACTAAAAACGAAACTTACTCAAAGTCACTCATATTGTAGCTGAGAGCGTTCCCCCATCTCACATTCTAATGTTCGCAGCAGTGTCAGATCGGGGAATATTCAACATCTGATGTGCAAAACTCACCACTGCCACTATGCCAATAAAAATATCCATTATTTTTGTTTCAAAAGAAATTTGCTTCAGCCGTAAATATTAAAGAAATTATTGTAATTTTATTATTAAAACTTAATATTAGGTTGTCAAATATCTCCCTTCTGCTTTTTTGTCTTTTGAATTTCGCGGCTATGTAAAAAGCGCTACAGAGCTCGTATCTGCGTATATGGCAACACTATACATAATTTGAAAGGCCTTGACATAACCTACAAAACAAATAAATTATATAATTAAATATTGAATTGTTTCTCAATAAGATATTTTAGTGAAATTGGAATTAAAGACACCGTTAATTGTAATAAAATACCCAAAATATACCTAAAAATCCAAAGAAGTAATTTTTCTATTACAGTGGCACTGTTCAGAAATGTTTAAAAAAATGCGGATTTTTGAGCGCTCTCACGAAATAAAGAGTTTCGTATCTAGTCATCATTCCTAGTGGGCTCTGCATCCAGCTTCACAAACCAGAGAATCTATAATAGTTATTGTAATTATATATATTGGGTTGCCCAAAAAGTAAAGGATTTTTCATATAGTCGGCGTTGACAAATTTTTTCAACGGCTTGTGACTGTAATGGCATTCTTTCTTCTGTCAGTTATCAGCTGTTACTTTTAGCTTGCTTTAGAAAAAAAGTGCGCGAAATTTTGTTTACATTTGTTTGTTTGGCGTCAATTTTAATATGGAGCCCACAAAGGAGCATTTTCGTCATATTTTACTTTATTATTTCCGTAAAGGAAAAAACGCGGAGCAGGTTGCTAAAAAGTTACGAGATGTGTAT